ACCTTTTCGCCTGAGGACATGCCCGAGATGACGTGTTCAACTCCAGATCGGTCTTTCTTGATGAAGGCAAAAGTTGCAGCGCTTGATATCGATTCCCAAAAGACCACCTTGCCGCTTCCAGACATGACAATGACGAGACCCGGCTCTTTTGAAGATGCAGACGGCGAGACGAGACACCCTACGGGTAGGGGATCGCTTGGTTTTGATGCGGATGGCAAGGTGAATGTGAATGTTTCGGGAGACTGAGACGTCGAGTTGTAAGCCCATACAATGGCATGGGTAGCCGTCAGACTCAAGGCGTATCCGGCGTTGGAAAATATGTCAGCTTGTTGGTTCCCTACACGAGTAGAAGAAGTGGTTGATTAGTGATGAAATGACAAGAATGGGTGTGAGAAAATCGCGAACCTGACCAGTCGGAGCGAATTCGATCCGGTAATGCGGGCAGTTTCGAAACTGTGAATGCGCTCGTGCTATTCTAGATTTCAAAGTGATTAGTGCCATGGGCAGAAGAGTTGTTATTGGGATTTGGAGTCATGCTAAACGCATGGTTGCGTATAACGTACGAGGACGAGACTTCCGTCACCCTTGTTTGCGGCACGATCTCCATGTTTTGACTTTTTCGCTCGCACATTAAGCTCTTTCCGAGGAGTTTGATGAAAGCTCTCCAAGGGAGAATCCTGTCTCGAGTCCAAGGTGGCGACCTTGTCGGCCTTGACGGCCTCGACCATTTCCGGTTGTACTTCAGGATTAGCAAAAGTTTGTTCGGTAAGAGGCAGGCGTTGGCGCTTAGCCTTTGGTTGCTGAACAAGACTATCGGTACTCTTGGGTCGCTGACGACGACGGGATCTCGTCGCCGTAGCTGGACCGCCCTCTGCGACTGTGGGATTGAACATGTCGAGGATTGAGAGAGTCTTGCAGTCCGAGGCGGTCGCGAGGGAGGCCTAGGCCTGGCGTGGCAGCGTGGGAGTGGTGATGCAGTGAAGTGGTGGTGATGCAAATGCGGGCAACGAGATGGTATACCGAAATCAGATGGACATGTCGAGATGGCGGGCGAAGAAGGCACCACGGTTCAGATGGAGTGCCTGGGGGAGGAAGCGGGAGAGGAAGAAGAAAAGGATGAGGATGATGAAGATGATGTAGGGCAGCAGCGCAGGCAAAGATTTGGTGGAGAGAGAGAAGAAGCAATGCCGCGTCGGAGGCGGCTATTGGTTCACAGCAGCGCAAGAAAAAAACAAATGGAGCTCAAAGTGCAAAGGCTAGCGGTCAATGAGCAGTTGAAGCTTAGAGCCCCAGCGGGCCAGTGAGCCAACGGACCAGTGAGCCGGCGAACCCAGTGACATGGAGCCACTGAGCCAGCAGGCCGGTGGGCCCGTGGACGTGGCAGCACGCACAGGGAGCACTTGGCAGGTGCAAGCCAGTCGACACACGTGCAATCATTGATCTCGATGCTCGCCAGCCAACGGCCCCTCCATGTCGTGCCTCAGCCTCAGCCAGCGTCTTGATCTGGTACAACCATCAACCACCCACCACCCAATGCGGTGGCAGTCCAGCTAAAGGTTCGTGGTCAGTTACGGTGCCTATTTTGAACCAGGCCATATTACTCGCCCCGACTGACCATGTGCGGTAGACTTATATCGGTATTGCTGATAGTTCTACATGAGCCGAGGTTGGCAAGGAGCGCAGCGCCGTCTCATCTCTATGCCGCCACTAACAGCAATCTTTGACTTTTCGATTCCTATAAAAAGGAAATGGAAACACCTATTTGACACAGCATTTGCATTGACCGGACCTCAAACCTCCAGACTTCGCTCAACCAACCTTACGAGTTAAACTCACGGCTGAGTTCATGTGAAAATCGCCATGAACACTGCTCGCAAGGGGGAAAACCCACCGACACCATGAGGCGATTCTCAACAGCAGTTACCATTACTGATCCTTTGGTAAAATACCAGACGCTTGTCAAAACCGGCATATATTCCCCGGACCCCGCTCAACACAGGTTGGCACGCCACTTGAGGGACATTTATCTTCGCATCAAAGACTATTCACCCCAGATAGAATACCGCCAAAGGCTGACACAAGTTGCGCGCCTCACGGAGTCCAGGACCCCAAACGACGAAGAAGCAGGCAATATTCTTGCCCTGCGAAGCCACAGCATATGGCGCAATCCCCTGTTCAAACATCTCATCCCCAGTGCCGCCGCAGACCGCGATAGCCTCGCTCTCACTCGAGTGCTTAGTAACCACGAAGCCGCCATAGAGATAGGTTCTCCCAGGGGTTTATTCCTATCAGGAGAGGTGGGCACAGGTAAATCCATGCTCCTCGACCTATTGGCAGACGGATTACCCACGGAATGCAAACGACGATGGCACTTTAACACGTTTATGCTGTACGTATTTGCGCAGCTTGACAAGTACAGAGAATCACAAATCAACTCTTCTGGCGCTGATTCAGAGTTCTCATTGGTTTGGATGGCAAAAAAACTCGTCGACGAGTCTCCCATCCTCTTCCTGGACGAATTTCAGTTGCCTGACCGGGCAGCCAGCAAGATCCTCAGCCACCTTTTCATAGCATTCTTCCAACTAGGTGGCGTCCTTGTTGCATCGTCAAATCGAATGCCGGAAGAATTGCAAAAAGCAACGGGCATTGATTACGCTCCTGCCTCTCCAAAAGGATTGATGGGCAAGATTTTTGGCGGAAGCACACGATATAAAGGGGAGCTTTATGGCCAGAGCAGCGACTTTGCCCACTTTCTTGACGTTTTAAAAGCCAGGTGTGATTTCTGGCAGATGGAGGGAGCCACAGATTGGAGAAGAAGAGAGAGCACTGACTGTTCGAAAACATCCATCGTCAGCACTCCAATCAGCACAGGACTGGCTGGCGCAACAGATGATGACAATACCACGAGTCACCACGATTTAACCACGCGCAACATACCATACAACTACTTCTTATATGACAGCCAGAATTCCCACAAATTCGAAAAACGGATCGAAGAAACCATTGGGTGGAACAATTCGGCACAGATGCCATGGAGGCCGTCCGCCTTAATCGTATACGGTCGGCAGGTCCTCACCCCCAAACACCACGACGGCACTGTACTTTGGACCTTTAATCACCTCGTCGAATCATTCGGTCCAGCAGACTACATTACAATGGCCTCATCCTACCACACCTTCATTATCGACCAAGTCCCCATCCTAACAGTGCCGCAAAAAAACGAAGCCCGCCGATTCATCACACTCCTTGACGCCCTTTACGAAGCCCGCTGCAAACTCATCATCCGGGCACAGAGCCCACCTGATGATCTCTTCTTCCCGCAAAACGAACCCTTCACAAGCCGCAGATCCAAGGACAGTCAACCCGACGGCGACGCAACCTACTCTGAGACCATTGCTGAAGTCTACCAGGACCAAATGGCCCCCTTCCGACCCAACGTGTCATACTACGACACCAAAGCATCCACGTCAAAATACGATCCCGATCAGGACTCCGACTTTGGTCTGCAAAAGCAGAGTATCAATTTCGGCAACACTGGTGCGTTCACGGGTGAAGATGAACGATTCGCTTACAAACGCGCCATCTCACGACTGTGGGAGCTGTGCAGCGCGACATGGCACGCCAGGACAGGATCTTGGTGGCAGCCGCTCCCTCTCGAGGCTAGGCACTGGGAAGGCGGCGTAGCCTCGCAGCCAGTCAAAACGAGCGTCTCATTGAAGAAGCTAGATATAGGTGAAAGAATGGGCGACAGCGTGGAAATAGACGTGGCTGGGCTGTCCAAGTGGAAAGTAGACGATTTACGCAAACAATCCGACAGCGAGAAATAAAAGACAATCCCAGTAGATGCACATATAGTAAAACATGGCTACTAAAACTTGCAAAGAGACATACAAAGACACAATGCACAAGCTCCCGGATATCATGAGAAAGGGAAAAAAAAAAAGCCCCAAAACCAGAAACGCCACGCCAAGTATGCCAGCTTTTGTGTCTCCTCGCCAAATCCTCCAACACGCCCGTCCGCCTCACAAACTAGTCACACCCGGCGTCCACGCCTCCCCAATCCTCCTCATATCGCTGTCGAACCTCCTGCTCACGATCCTCTTGCCACCGGCACCCCCCAACGGCGCATGCTCATCCGGCTCGTAAAAGGGGTTCTGCAGCAGCCGCACGTAGGCGCTCTGCATGGCGCGAAACACGGGCTTCAGCTCCGTCTCACGCAGGCCCGCGGCGGCCTGCCTCCCGCCCGCGGCGTCTATCCTCCTGCCGCGCATGTCGACGACGCACACCATCCGCACGCCCGTGTTGGTCTCGTACCCGTACGCGGCGAGCCGGTCGTCGATGGCGTGGAGCAGGCCGACGTCGCCGGAGAGCCCGACGCCCGACGCGGCGTTTGCCTTGGCGCGCAGCTCGAAGACGTCGATTGTCGAGGAGAGGAGGAGCGAGAACTGGAGCGGGCTGCGGATCGGCGTGAACGTGTTGGTTGCTGCGTCGTGCGAGGGGAAGATGGAGACGTGCAGCGGGTTGTTCTGTTTCTTTGGCTTTAGCGACTGCGCGAGCGGGTGGACGAGTAAGTATACTAGAAGAGGGGGGAACGCACGTTGCGGCCGATGACGCCCAGGCAGGCGATGGAGGGGATTGCGGTCGTCATGGTTGCTCCCGGGCTGGTGAGTTTGGGAGTTGAGGTCGGTTGATGGGATGGCTTGAGGTCCCGAGGTTTTGGAGCGGTGGAGTATCAACGGTGGGGATCGGAGAACGACATGCACCAACAAGCCAACAGTCCAACACGGTGTATTTCGTAGTACTAGTGCTTGAGTAGCTTGAGCTGTACATACACATGTAATACTCGACATTGAACACTCAGAAGCGCGTTTCATCGTACAGGATATCAAGGAGGCCCTTTTCCAAGTCGTCAAATAACCCTACTGGGAACACGTCTATACGCCCACACAGCTTGCCAGCTTACACGCCAGTTGATACATGGCTCCTCTCTCAACCGCCGCCTACTCCTCGTCACCACCAGCCGTCTCCTCCAACCCCCTCAACACCTCGTCGATGTCGCTCGGATCCGTAATGGCCCAGACTCCTCCCCCCTTGACCGAGTCCTTCCCCCTCATGCCGACCTCCTTCCCCACCAGATTCCGGCCAACCTTGCCCGGCCCTATCCCAACCCACCGACGAACTTTTTCCTGCTGGTCCAAATACCGAATACTGTCCCACCAGCGGACCGTCTCGAGGCACCCCCTCGCCAGCAGCTCCTTCAGCTGCTCCTTGCTCCGAAACGGCCTCGCCGTGACGTTGCTTATGCACGGAATGTCTCCGGGAAACGTGATGATGTCCTCCCCCTCCCGCCCCGGAACGCGGCTCTTGTCCTCCAGCAGCGACTGCATCACGGCAACGGCCGGCTTCATGATGGGGCTGTGAAACGGACTGTCGCTGTGCAGGCGCACCGCCCGCGGGTCGTGGCCCAGAAACTGCCGCACGTGCGCCATGAGCGTCGTGATGCGCTCGAGGTTGCCGCTCAGCACGATCTGGTTCTTGCTGTTGATGTTGGCGATGAGCACCTGCTCAATGGGCGGGACGTGCTCGCTGCTCTCGCCCTTGCTCCCCGCGCTCGAGTGGCCCACGAAGTCGTGGATGGCGGCGATCAGGCCCCGCAGGTACTCGGGCTCCGTGATGATGGCCACCATGCCGTACTCCCCGCCGTAGTCCTGTATGGCCTTCTTGGTCGCGTCCGACATGGCCGCCGCGCGCCGCTTGACGAGGTACAGGCTGTCCTGGAAGGTGATGTATCCGCCGGCGACGAGGGCGGCAAATTCGCCGAGGGAGTGGCCGAGGGTCATGTCGAAGTTGTCGGCGACCTTGAAGTTGAACTCGCGCTCGAGGATCTTGAGGATGACGATGGATGTGGCCATTATGGCGGGCTGGGCGTTGGTGGTCTGCGTGAGGACCTTGGACGGCCCGTTTTGGATGACGTCGGAGAGCTTGAAGCCGGCGTAATGGTCGACTTGTTGAATGAGTTCGCGTGCCGTCGATGGGAAGGCCTCGAGCCATGGAGTTAGCATGCCGACCTTTTGGGTTCCTTGGCCTGTGATGCGCTTGGTTAGCCTTTGCCTGGTGAGCCCTTCTCCATGTACATGTAGATGGATAAGTCATTGGGGCAGTTGTTTTAATAGGGTAGTGTAGTTCCGTACCCGGAAAGAAGATGGCCGTCCGCGGCCTCCTGGGCCTCCTCGAGCCCATAGACATCCATCGTCGCTCGTGCCAATATGCGTCATCTTCTCCCGCGAGAGTCGCGTTGACCCGTGGAGACAGGCGCTCACCCTGCGTCTTGACTGTTGCACGCCGCCATCGGGGGCGGAATGCGCTGCTACTAAGGCGCTGCATAGCCGTGCCAAACGGCGCGAGTGTGAGGAAGCGGGATTCACAGCAATGCATTCATTCTGGCAATGGACGAAAACAAGCAGGATCCAACACCTCTGGCGATAGTAATGTTGTATTGTCGCTTGGCCCAGCACGTGGGGCAGATGTGGTGCAGCAGAGCCCCGGACCTCCGGACATGGACTTCAAATGGGGACCAGTTGACCTCTGGCAGCGCCTCTGGAGCGATGGTAGCCGCCGTAATGGAGCCGCCAGGGGGGCTGTCAATGGCGGCCAGCACATTGATTGATGCCAAGCTTGGCAGCTCCCCCACTCTGCCTCCCCCAACTCCCCAACCCCCCAGGTGCCGCAATTCATTGTTCCTTTTGGCCCGAATTGCCGGGGACATGGAGCCCGTTCCAGGGTTCCAGGGCCGAGCTCCAGATCTCGACTTTTTTGGGCTCCTGGCATGTGCAATTCTGCTCTCGCCTTATGCATACTTGACCGGCACATATGGCGTCATTCCCTCCTCCTACTCTTCTGCCATGTGAATCCAACCAGATCGTCTCCTGTCTACAATATTAATTCATTCAATTCATTCCTCATATCATAATATCTAACACCGCATCTCTACGCCCCCTTTGCTAACGGTCAGATACTTGACCCCTTTGTACGGCTTCACGCCTTCAGCCATGCCCCTACTTTTCCTTGCATCCAGCAAAATACTATCCACCTTCAATCCGCTCGCAAGCCACCCCTTCACCGTAAAGCTCACTGACGCTGAGCTCGGCATCAGAATCTTGTTTTGCGCCACCTTCTTCGCGTCCTGCTCGTGGCTGTTACCCGTCTTGCCTCCCGCCTTGGCCGGCGCGCTTTGATATGGCTCATTATAGGAGTAGTCATGGTTGAATGCAAACCCGCTGGGGTCAAAGTCCTGTACTTCGTCATCTATTGGCCCAACCACTGTGCAGCGGAGTGCAAGCGGTGAAGTCGATCCAGATAGCTCCTTGGTGGGGACCTGCCACTCCAGAACTCTTTCTCCGGGGTTGAAGCTGGCGTCTCCTCTGCTCGGTCGAATATCGGAGAGGTTTCTCACGTCTTCGGGTAGCGGGATCGTGACGCTGAGTCCTTCTAGCAGCGGCGCGCCTGGTGACCCCGCATGAGGTGGTCCAACTCGTCCTGACCCGATTCCTCGTCCAAATTGGCCGGGACCAGAAGTTGACTGGCTGCCAAGAATCTTGTTCACTTGCAGTCTGACTTCAAACTCCAACCCCGCAGGGCCCAGTCCGGTCTTCATCTCCAAGTTGACAGGTAGCTTGAGATTATTCGCGCTTGAATTTCCACTCTTGCCGCTGGTAAACGGCAGCAAATCAACCTCGTATCCCGCCAAGATGAACCGGCCATCAGGCGGTATAAAGCTCAGTTCCCCCGGCCTCTCCTTCCATGTATTCAGACGAACGCACGGGTGAAAAACGGGCAGCTCCATGATGCCGCCAACATTATGCTTCCCCGACGGACTGCTCAGGCTCACAGTAATATCCGGTACGCCGGAAACCTTTGCCGTAAACACAATGGACCCATTTGCAAATGCTGCCAGCGGCCGTCCCGACGGCGCAAGAGTCACAGAAAGAGTCTCAATGACATCGGCGTACATCTCGTTGGAAGTGTGTCGTACGTTGGCACTTCGCCACGGTAAGGCGGGCGTATTGGATAAATTTAAGCTTATGGGTGTTTTGCTGCCCGCAGTTGATCAGTTCTTGGAGCTCCAGACCCCTCCCCGGGGACAAACGCAGCACAATTACCTGGGCAGGTTAAAGCCACCGAAAATCTTGTCCAACAAGCCCTCCATTTCGACGTTTTCCTTCAGAGCATTAGGCTCAGTAGTATTTATCGTCCCCGCGTCACACATTTCCGTGAGAATCTGTGCCGCTACATGGTAGTTCCTCTCAATCTCGGAGGCGAGAAGCGGGGCGGCAATGATGTCTTCGAAGGCGTCGATTACGCGGTGGAGAAACTCAATAACAAGAAGCGGTTCTATTTCGGTAGAAGAGGTCGCTAGGAATAAAAGGTTCGCATGGTTTAGACTGAAGATGAGAGTGGCGGGACTGGCATTGGGAAGATATATCAAGTTCGGCCTGGGAACTGGGTGCTCGAGATAGAGGGGCAGCAGGTGCTTGGCGGAGAGAGGTCGGCCGGTGTAGGTATGCGACAAAATGGGCTTCCTAGGTCTCTTAGCACTGGCAGAAGGTGTCAATCGGTCATGGTATTCGAACCTGTTATCGTCGTATATGTGCAGCGCCTCAATAAGGCCGTTCATTCTGGCGATTGCCGTTGCTAGTGGCACGGTTTCGAGCTTGTCAGATGCTTCAAAGGAAGGACGTCTGGTCCAAATGTTGCGCCGCACACGCGACTCAGCATGAGGGAAGCTGGATAGTGCTGACTAACAGGGGACTAGCTGCAATAAACCAGAACGAGACCACCAGCCAGGACCCCAATTCGCTGTGGCGTCCATGTCGCCAAGCTGCTCCCCCAGTACGGAGTACGTTACGGGTACCTCTACCTAGCTGTGGCTCAAGCATCCGCTTCAATGCTCCCAGAGTCTGGTTCCAGATCGTAGCTTCAAAGCTCCAGTCGTCTCTATTGCTTCAACACAGTTCTGCCAGCACTCGCAGCCATGGCCGGCGACAAGCCCCCTACCATCCAATCCCTCGACAAACCAGAAGATCTCAAAGGTCTCCTCCGTCAAGACCGTGGCGATGACTGCCTAAGCTGCAAAATCGTCGGTAAGATGCTACACCCTTCCCCAACCAGGAGATGTTTGCCGCGGAATTTAACAAGAACACCCCATCAGGAAGCGGCGCCTTTTTCGGTCTAGGAGCATACAGCTACTTCTCCGGCATGTCGCAGCTAGAAAAGCAGCGCCAGGCCATCCTGCAGAGCAAGTCCATGTTCGGCATGAGGAGTCGCAAGTTTGGCATCGTTGGTATTTCGCTGGGCCTGGTGTGGATGGGCCTCTGGAGAGCGTTCCGGTGATTTGTGTATATGAAAGAATGGTTCTGTACGATATTGTAACATAGTATAGCATAATTTCACGATTCGCATGAATACATGGTTTTTCTGTGCCATCCATCCCCCCTAGGTGATGTCTGATATGTGAGGAGATTGTACTGGTCACGAGCAATCCTCGCTTGGGCCCGATTTCTCACCATAAAACCGAATATACAACATCTTCGACTACCATAGCTCGCAATCTAGTCACCGACTTGTAAAAAGTAAAGTAAAAAGCAGCAGCTTTCTCCATTCCACGGCGCATTGTCAGTCGCAACAATCCACCCGGCTGCACCAACGAAAATCTTCACTTTATCAACGACCCACTTCAGACTTCACCTCACCTCACCTCACCATCAAACTCATAAACCTCGTGTCCAACTCAGCATTGCCCATATGCAACCCCAAACGAAAGGCCACCGATAACAGTATACACATGAAAAAAGACACCAGCCAAGAGAAATAGCAATCCAACACCAAGCCACGCCCACAGCGGCGCATAATCTCACCCACACTCATCGCCGCCCACGCCTCGTCTTCACAATGCCCATCACCATCCTCAAACCACAAGCCGCCTCCCGCCACCCACTCTCATCCCTCGTCGCAGAGTCCGACTCCGACTCCGACCCCGACTCCCCCGGCGGCGTCGACATCGAAGGTGATGTCTCCATGGGCGGGACCAAGCGAAGGCACAGCATAGACGCAGACGAGATCCTCACCCCCGGCACCATCATCACATCCAACCCCCAGTGGATGCGGTAAGTAATTTTTTGTCCTCTTTACCCCCTTCACCCATCCTCCCAAAAAAAAATGTGCCAGTGCTCACAAGTCCCAGCGGCCACGGGACATATCTGCCCGCCTCGACGCAGTCCATAACCTCCTCCCTAGCCGGCACGCTCACCAAGACCAACAAGCTCCTCTCGGTGCGGCCCCTGCGCGCGCGCTACACCCCCGAGATAGGCGACCTCGTCGTCGGCCGCATCACCGAGGTGCAAGCCAAGCGGTGGCGCGTCGACGTGGCCGCGAGCCAGCTCGCCATCCTGCAGATCAGCGCCATCAACCTCCCCGGCGGCATCCTCCGCAAGCGCACCGAGACGGACGAGCTCCAGATCCGCTCCTTCTTCTCCGAGGGCGACCTCGTCGTCGCCGAGGTCCAGCAGCTGCACCAGGACGGCGCCGCCTCGCTGCACACCCGCTCCCTCAAGTACGGCAAGCTGCGCAACGGCGTCTTCGTGAGCGTCTCGGGCACCGGCGGCGGCGGCGGCGTCGTCAGGTCGAAGCGCCAGGTGTGGACCATGGAGGGCGCCAACGCCGCGGGCAAGATTGACGTGCTGCTGGGCGTCAACGGGTACATCTGGATCAGCAAGCACCTCGACGGCGAGGTGGCCGCCGAGGCAGCGGGCATCAACCGCATGGAGGAGAGCGTCAGCAGCAGGGTGTACTCCAGCCAGAATGACGACATCGACGTGGCTACCATGAGGGAGATTGCGAGGGTGAGGTGTGTGATTCTAGCGCTTGTTGAGAACGGCGTGCGGGTGGATGAGGATATGGTCGGGAGGGGGTATATGGAGGCTGTGGAGATGGCGAGGGAGGATGAGGGTGATGATTTGTATCTGGGAGGCGACAAGGGCGCTCGGCTGGCTGCCATTTTGGCCGGTCGTTGATACGGACCGCAACGAGTGCCACAAGTCGCTGCTGTATTCTCATGGTCATGGTTGATAAGTGCAGAAGCGGCCGCTGGTTGCATGCATTGTGTTTCCCTCCTTCCGTGATGATGTGGACTACTCATAGATTGCGGTTTTTAGACAGACAGAATAAAGCCAAGGAAAGGGTTCGGCTTCACGGGCATGTGAAAATATAGTAGTATTTTGGTTCTTTTCAAACCAGGTGGCGATTCTACATAACGTACAAATCCTACCGATGTTGGATACAAAAAAAAAAACAGACTTGGACTGTGATCCTGTCATATGTGTCGCAAAGATATATATTCCTCCCCATCGCTCACACATCACATCAGTCTGCCTAGTTTTCCCCTCTTCGAATTACATCTCGACACATATCCCTCTTTCATTAAATATGACAAAAAATGGGTATCGGTACGGGGCGTATTGTTCGTAGAATGACATTGTTTTACAATTCTCAGTCGTCTTGCTCGGGCGATGGTTTCGCGCCATTTACAGGCCTAGCGAATTTCTCTTCAGCCGAAGGAACATGGCAATCAGGGCAAAGATGATCCCCCACCTTAGTGCTGCACTGGATGTGCTCTTCCCACCGAGGCCGAACAGGAAACCGAGCCAGTACTTGAGACCTTGGGTGACGTTGCCCTCACGGTCAAAGTTGGGTTTTTGTCCATTCATCATGCGGTAACGGCTTAATTCGTCCCATGAGTACGGCATATAGCGTACGCGAAGGACCTTTTCTGCCCATTTGGGGACTTGGGTGATGACGCGCTGGTGGCTAAAGGCTTTGAAGGAGTAGTAACCGTGGTAACTACCTTGGCCGGAGGAGCCAATGCCGCCGAGGGGGGTGGCGTTGATCATGGCGTGGAAAAAGGCATCGTTGACGGTGGCACCCCCTGACGTGACGTTGTTCAGGACTGTAACCATGCATTAGATTATTTAATTTTGACAAGACGCTTTTTTTTACTGGGAAGAGTGCATTTTCTACCATGGAAAGTGTGCGCAAAGTTGAGTCCTTAACATACCTTTATTATTTTCTTCATCAGAACCAAATGTGAAAAGAGCCAACGGCGTCGGGTCAACCTTGTTGGCAATGTCAATGGCCTCGTCGAGATTATCAAACGGCATGATAGACCAAATGGGACCGAAACTCTCCTCGGCCATCATAGTGTCCTCAACATCGTCGACGAGGACGGCCGTCGGCTCGATCCACAACTTCTCTTCATCAGACCCGCCTCCCATGACAATCTTGCCCTTGGAGTTGTTCAGCATCCTCATCAGACGATCGAAATGGCCTTTGTTGACAATACGCGACAAATCACTGTCCTTGGCGCCCTTGGGCATGAATGTGCGGTACTGCTTGTTTACTTCGGCGATGAACTCATTCAAGACGGGACGCTCAATAAGAACATAATTGTGCGACAGGCACACCTGGCCAGCGTTGAGGCACTTTTGCCACAGAAGACGCCTGGCGGCGAGCTTGACATCACCATTCTTGGTAACGAAGGCTGGGTTTTGGCCACCAAGTTCGAGAAGAACGGGTGTGAGAGACTGGGCAGCCTTGGTTGCGATGATGGCACCAGTCTTCTTGCCACCGGTAAAGACAATCTTGTCAAACTTATGCTCCATGACATGCTTAGTCTCCTCCAAGGCACCGTTGACACATACATAGCAATCCGGGTCGAGGTACTCGTCAAATATCTTCTTGAGAATCATGGCAGAGTGAGGCGACAGCTCAGAGGGCTTGAGCATGACACAGTTACCGGCGGCAATGGCGCCAATGACGGGAGTGAGATTCAACTGAAAGGGGAAGTTGTAAGCACCAATGACGAGCACCTGGCCCAAAGGCTCGTTTCTTATGCGCGGGCGCATTGGCCAGTAAGTCATGGGCAGGTCGACGACGTATTCATCCTTGGCCCAGGTCTCGAGCTTGTTGGCGACATTGATGGCCTCGTTCTTGACCCAGTCAATCTCGGTGACGTGAGCCTCAAACTTGCATTTTCCCATGTCCTTCATGACAGCCTCCTCGATGAGTTGCTCATAGTCAGAGACGGCCCAGTAGAGCCTGCGGATCTGCTGCAAACGAAAGTTCATGTCCTTGGTCTTGTTGGTGCGGAAGGTCTTGCGCAGACGCTCGACGTGGGCAGTGATGCCGTCAAGGGAAGCGGGCTCAAAGGCCGGGATGGGGCCGGTCTTGACGTGAGCCATGATGAAGGATGCCCGGCCGACTCTCTTTGGCGGCGACGATGCAAAAAGACGGACGCGGCTTATACAAGCTCTTGGTCCAAGGGAGCGAGCTATAGGAAGCCACCTAAGGTGCTGGGTTCTCCGTACTCGCAGGCTAGGAGCTCGGTTCCGGTGGGAGCACTTGGAGCTTGGCGGGCGGAAGAAACTGGCCAATGCGTACCAAGGGACGGAGTGCTCGGGAATACGTAGTCGACCAAGTCCAACAGACAGGGATGAGGACCGATGAAGTGCAGAGGTGGATGCGAAATGGGAGAAGGGAAGTGAGAGACCAGAAACGGGAAACGGGAGGTTTAAAAGGTCTAAACCCAGGCCAAGCAGGAGCAGCAGATAGAGATGCGGGTAGCTACTCTACTTAAGTTGCAGGGACCTTCAGGGCCATCGGTACCAAACGGGACATAGACCGAAGTAGTCGATACCTCAGTGCTGGCTTGATCAGTGAGCAACGCCAAGTACTCATAGTGAAGGGTTAACCGTTGAAAAGTAACACAACATCTGGCGCTACACCGAAAACCGGCACCGGCACCAGCAACGTGCCGCTTGGCCGAACCTCGCACAAGCATCAGATGCGCCAGGTGCCTGCAACCACCATCGTGTCCCAGACGCCTCGAATTGCTCGTAGGGACGCGCCGCCGGACAAACACCAATAGGAGTGAACAGTTGCCGGCCATGTCTCCTCGACAGACCTCCGAATGCTCCTTGCTCTCATGGCTTGCAGATCCGTCATCATTCGAGGGCTCGGTAAGGAGTCTGGTAGATTACTAGTCGGCCGACACACGGGGCCACGGCCCAAATTTCCACGACGGAGCACCATCAGTAGCCTCTAAGCCAGTGCCTGTCCCCCCCCAACGCGACCTCGACAGGCTTGCACATGTGAGCGCTGTGCTCTGTCGCGCCCCACGTTCCGCTGGACGCTGAATTCAGGACTGTCCAGGACCGGCGCAGAAAATAAAAGAAAAAGACAAAAAAATCAAGGCACAGACACCAATAAGAAGCCCAGCTTCCTCTACCACATGCTTCTCGCGTGGTACAATCCAGACTCAAAAGTACTACTAGTACTACGTAGTACGTACTAGTTTTGCCGAGGCAGACGTTGAGAGTCACACAGGGTATGCGGTCTGGCGCCAAAGCCCCGCTGTGTGACAACGGGACATGTTGTGCATTTACCCGCTTCTCAGCCCAATGCAAGCCTCTTCTATTCTCCGCAAACTACGAAGGACTCCGTACGGAGTAGCTTTGCAAAAGTTCATCCAACTACGAAGTATGTACATACGTAGTGGCTTGATGTACTATTCCTGGCGAATGGAACGTGGGGAGGAAATGGCAGGGCGGATGGCTGGAAATTCAGTTCAATCCAGCTAGGGCGAGGTATCACGGAAGGCAGCTTGGAAACGAAAGATGGGATCGAGTCCACGTCCATCAATCTCATTCAACGTACTTGGGATGGTGTTGATGTCTGTATCACGCCCGAGAAGCCAGATCCCAGTCACGCACCATTGATATGAATCCTCGACGCTCCTGTAGCAGGGACTACTCACCACCTTGCTAATGGCATTGCCCACCGCCGGTATCCAAAATTTAGGACATGAATTTCTACATCTACTGTACATCCAGGGCACCCACGCCCAGGCTATCCACATGCTCAATTATACAGATCCGGCCATGCCAGAAGCCACCCCCGACCGCTAAACAGTATGAAATTTACAAACACGTCTACCTCCTTGCTCTCGCATGCGCAGCACCCTTTCCAGCCTTGGGCGCAGGCACCATTTCTGCAACCTTCTGCTTCTCCTGTTCCTCAATCAGCTTCTGCATCAGATAGCTGTCAATGGCCTGCTTGCCGTCCACCAGCAATCCACCTTCGGCTCGCTCCATGTCCGCAATCGCAGCCGCCTTTCGCTGCTCGTCCAGCTCCAGTCGTCGCTCCATGGTCATTCTCCATTCCTTGGGGAATCTCGGCTTCTCCTTGATACGGTGATGTCTCAGGTCCAGAGGCACATCCTCGAAGGTATCCTTGGGGTCTTTGGCCGCCGCAATCAAATCATCCACTAGGCCTGTTAAATAGCGCTTGTTCTGGGCCTGGTGCTCGTAGCTTTCGCAGCTGATCTTGACGAGGTCCGTCTCGGGGTTGTACCGGGGACCGGCAAGCTTCTTCAGCTTGGCCGTCTGGACAGGCGTGAGCTTCAGATCGTCGGGGGCGAACTGGACGACTACTTTTCTTTCGGCGGGGTGTGATTCGCCCATGTAGGTTGTGTATCGCCAGCGGAGGACTTCATTCTCCTTCGGGGGCACGAAAGGCTTGGCGAATTCTGTCACGGCCATGTAATTAATTTCGGGTGCCAATCTTTGGTGTTCTCTGCAGTGGGGGTACAACTTACTGGCGAGAAGGGGCATCTCCCAAGCTGCCAATCGGGCGTAGTGTCTCATCTCTCGAACTTCCTCCAGCTTGCCATGCGCCATAGAAGTAATGTCATCTTCATCAAACTCATCATGCTCCTCGGTGTTGGTTTCGGGGTCTTCCTCGTCAAACCAGAACGATGACTTATTGGGCTTCTCGCCAATGTCGTCCTTGAGTAATTCCTCTTCCAATGCTCTGTCTTCGGATGCCCAGCCAGGCGTCTGTCTCAGTTTTGCTGTTAAGAACTCGTCGATCGTGTTGTAGCCGTTCGTCTTGGCCAGCTCGTCAAGCTGTCGCAATCCTTCAGGGGTGGCCGTCTCGGTGAAAGCCTTGTTCATGGTCTTCAACTCCAACTGCTGCGGTGACTCTCCCTCGCCCTCTCCGGCCCCCTCCTTTTTCGTTTTCTCGTCGGTCCATCGTGCAGATGACGTGCTGAATGCTCGCTGGGCAGCGAGGCTTTGCTGAGAAATTTGCCGTGTTAGAGGCAGTGGATGGACTCGAGGGGCCCTACGGCATGCCAGCGCACATAGCCTCGCAGCATTTGAAGCCGACGCCATGTCGAATTGATTGAGGTTGTACCAGACCCGACCTGGATATGTTGCTATCAAAAATTTGGCAGAGGTCAATTGAGTGGCAGTCGAGGAACACAAATTTGCCGATGTTTTGCCATGCTTGGCGCCCCAACGCCATGCTGGATGGATGGTAGTGGATGCTGTGGTGCGTGGCGTGCAAGCTCAAGCTCCACTTGGTGACCTCTTCAATGAGACCGAGAGATGCCAGCTTTTCCGCCTGGTGTACAACCTCGCTTATACCATCTGCCTTCCCAACAACAATGAGGTAGAAATACCAAATTGAAAATGACTTCAAATTCAGGTGCCCTCGAAAGGTACTGTCTCGTCACAGTCGGCGCAACTGTTGGGTTTGAGGAATTAACAAAAGAAGTTCTCCAATCTGCCTTTTGGCAGTTTCTCAGAGAACAAGGCTTCACAGCCCTGCATGTCCAATGTGGACCTGACATTCCCTGGGCCAGTGCCCGATTCTCAGACCAGAAGGAGAAACTCCCCAAGGGGTTCGAGGTTGACGTGTTTGACGTCAAAACCAATTTGATGAAGGACGAAATGGTTCTCTGCCAAGCTCGCCCGGGACAGCGAGCCCAAGGCTTGGTTATCTCACACGCAGGTCAGTGCTTGCAACCTGCAGATATGCCCCAGTATTGCGACCTGATGCGATTATTTAGGGACTGGAACTATTCTTGATGCGTGGAAGATGGGACTTCCTCTCATCGTGGTTCCCAATACCCGATTGCTCAATGATCACCAAACCGAAATGGCCAAACATCTTGCGAGGCAAGGTTACGCAACCATGAGTTCCGCAGAGTCAGTATAATTAGTTCACTGTGCCATTTGTAGTAAATTATGTAGGACTGACTTGTATTCAGCCGTCTTGATCTTCAGGAAGCGATTCACAAGGCGGTCCTTCTTTGGGAAGAGAATAAGACAACACGATGGCCGGCCCATAATGTTAGGGGTAAGGAGAAGGAGACTCTGAGACTCTGGGACATCAGGCCCGGGGAAGTAAAGAAAGAAGAAATATCGCAGATGTCTCATGACTAGGCGCATAGGCTCTATCGGTATATCTTTCCTCGCGCCAATTCTCAGTCTAGGGAGGCCTAATGATGAGCCGCTACACTGACAGATGCGCCATGATTTCGCAAACCATGCTTCAACTTCATATTGCGTTGGGGAGTTTTGGGGTTTGGCGTTTACAAGTTTGATCTCGTTCGTATTTGGCTTGGCCCTCAATACTGTCACAAATGTACTCAGTGAGAGCTGATAATAATAAAGGAGTGATACGGGGCTCCTACGCAAGTCTTATTTATATTCAAGGCAGGTTCTTAACGTCCCAAATCTTGACGTTTGCATCCCCTCCTGCGCTGGCAATCTGTCCGCCTTCTATCCATGAGATGCCATTAACTCCGTCCTTGTGTGCGTTGGCAGCCTTGATTCGCTTTCCTTGGTTTCTCTTTTCCAAACACCACACAAAGACGTTGGTGTCTAAGCTTCCGCTAGCTGCATATGCGCCAGAATCATCCCAGGCAATGCAAGTCACGCGCGCCGTGTGGGCAGACCAACGATCTGAAGCCACCTCCCATGTTGCGGTATTGTATGCATAAATCTTGCCAACGCTGTTTCCAGCACCCAAGTGAGAGCCATCCTTGGAAAAAGCCAGAGCAGATATTGTTCCAGTAGGGTTCGTCAATGTTTGTAGTTCTTCCAAGGAGCCCCCGGAGCTGGCCTTGTATACCTTGACAGAGTTTTTGTCCGCTCCAACGGCGACCAAGCTTCCGGAGGCGGCAATGGATGTCGGAGTATAGCTGACTGCTGTCTCTTTCAGAAGCTTCCCGCCAGAATACGCCGCAATCGACGAAACCGTGGCGACATAAAGGACACCATCGGATGCACTGACGCCCTTTGGTTGTGCCGCAAGACCGATGGACTCGCCCACAAAGGTGCCAGCTGATTCATCCGCAATCTTCACCGTGTCATCCCAGCCAGCGGTATACATTTTTCCCGCAACCCCTGTTATCTGCACAACCTGGTTGGTATGAGACCCTCCATCCACCACACTAGCCGTGCCTGTTTTGATGTTCCAGTGGCAAACCCGACCATCAACGCTTCCTGTCCATAGCGCAGAGCCTCTGCCGTCAGAGGAGCCAGTGAGAGCAGTAATGCTCTTTTGGTGTCCCTGGAGGATCTTGACGGGTTCGTTCTTGCCCTCATTCAAATAAATAAGCTCTCCCTCCAAATTTACGCTAATAATCAAACCATCGGTTCGGCCATGGGGAATGACGACACCCATCTGCTGATCTCGAATACTAAGTCCGTCTCCAAACTTCCAGGTCTGAATGACGCTGCCTGAATCAACTTCCCAAAGTTTTATCGTTTGGTCAGCGCTTGCCGTGGCAAACTTCTTGCCATCCTCAGACCAGGAAAGAGCAAATATGCTCCCAGTATGTTCTCCTTGGCCAATCTGCTTGATAGGCTCCCCAGTCTTTCCGTCGTACAGCTGTATTCGCTTATCGGCGCCTACAGTCGCAAGAGTAGCTCCATCGGGAGAGTATGAGGTTCCGAGAACAAAGCCCTTGTGTAAGGCACTCTTCTCGTTGAACTTGTAGGGAGCGCCGTGATAAAACACCATGTTGCCATCGTCACCAACAGTTGCAGCACGGAAGGGGCGCTGGGGCTTCATAGCTACCGCGTTGACGGTTTTCGAGTGACCAATGATTTCCCCCACCGAGTTTCCGCTGTCTGCCGTGATGCAGCGGCCGAACTGCTCCTTGCCGTCTCCGACAGCAATGACGCGCTGCGACTCACCATCCCAAGCAACATCGTTCAGTCGGCCTGAGATGATGTGATATTCGCCAATGGTTTTATCCGTGTTCTCAGGCTCCCACACCCGTAGCGTACCGCTGGCATCACCACTGGCAACTTTGAACCCGCTAGGTGAAAAACGAGCCACGGTTGTAGCGGCGGTGTGGCCGGTGTACTCCTTGGATTCGGCGGGGTTGTCGATGGAGCGGACAAAGATTGATTTTCCTGACTGAGAGGTGCTGCATTAGCATCATGGGCGCTTTAAATGTTGGTACGAGTCTCATGCTGAGCTACCGAAAGCCCGCATGGAGTGGACAAGAGCTTACCGCGTAAGCTATCCGCTGGCCTTTCGAGTCGGCGGACAGTTGCGTTGGCTGTCCTCTGGTCGTAGACGGAGCCGCCGCGAGAATGCGGTTCAAAGTAACAGAGGGGGTGGCCATGGTTCCGCCACAATTCTGAAAGCTCACAAGACGGCGATGCTCCGAGATTGTACCTGGTTGTGTGTCTTGATGGACTCAGACTGAGGTGAGGTTTGGTCACTTGGTGGGGGAGAATGTGACAGCACTTGAGCCTACAGGAGGGGTCAGGCACTGGAGAAGGAACAGTGAAGCTTGTTCCTGGAGGGGCAGCCAATGACGTCGGCTTGAACATTCATGCATGTGTGTTCAAAGCATCAAATTGACCCTCTCTCTCATTTATTTGCCTGGTGCAGCTGTCTTTGGCCTTTTAATGTTGTCCAGTCCGAATCCATCCGAAATGCTTTTGCCCGCGGTATTGCTGGCATGCCTAGGTGCTTGTCTGCTGCCTTGCAAAAAGCTTATGCCTCGATTTCATCGCCATTCTTTCGTCATAGTCTCACCCGCAGCGCAATGATGCCTGGGAGGCAGCAGTTGTCCTGTTCTTGGCGCGTGGGCGAAGCTGTGAGGCAGCCTTGATACACCAGCGGTCTGTCCTTAGGTTGCCAAGCAACTTCCGACGGATACGGGAGCACGTTTGATGCGGAATGAAAGAAATCTTGATGGGTCAAACTACTACTGTTCCCGTCCACGGTCCTGCCGACGATGCGGCAATACGAGACCATCCAGACCCCGAGGTAGCACTGCTGTAAGAGCCCCCAGCCAAACGCTCAAATGTCCTCGCTCGTCAAAATATTGACCCGACAGACAGATTCTGGCCATAATTACTCCGTACTCCTCATCGCTATGTGATAGGAATGCAACGGCACAACGCCCGTCAACCCCTTCGTTTACCACCCAAGGTCAAGATGAACCAAAAAGGACCATGATCATCTCCAGGGCAACAATTACGGAGTACGCCAGCCGCAGAGTGCCCTGCTACCTTTCCCTGAAATTTGACCTCGCATGGCAGCCAAGACATTCGTATTTCCCGTGTCTCTGAATGAGACGCCGTCCAATCACCCTGCCAGGTCGACCTGTCTCATGCCGCAATGGGGTGTCACAAAAGCAATTTGCACCACTTCCAGTCATGAGACTTTCCCCTCCTATCCTACATCGCAGCTTGTTGTCATATGAGAAGGTGGAAGTTCGTCGGCACAGAAACTCAAATCTCATTCCTACATACTACAATAACACCCGTTTGTCATGCATTTGCACCGCCCGTTCGTGGGTGTACCTCACCTGTAGCGATACAGGCCGACAGATTTGGGCCAAACGAGAGCATTTTTGCAGCCTTTTTTCCAGCACGCTGAGGCCCTCATGCGGTTGACTATTAGCAATGGCGGCGTTAAATTGGATAATGGACGGTGTTGTCAAGCACTTGCGTACTCTTCCGTTTACAGCACGGTAAGAGACCCAATATATCAGACAGCCATGTGTCCTAGACAAAGCATCACTGACCCCAAAAAGGCATTTTTTTCCCTCTTGTTTCAATGGTCATCTGGGGCTGAGGAAACTGTAGACTGTACAAAGAGAGGGCTCTCACCTATCTCGGCTGAAGTTATTAGTTCTACGCCACCGTCTTGGAATCAAACAAGCCATACGGTGTGGTTAGCAGTACTACTCCGTACGATATATTAAACCACGGGCCTCCCCCATGATGCCGCTTCCCCTTCTTCATCCTTTGTTGTGCCTGCAAAGTCGTCTCATTGGTGTCAGTACCTTGGTCTTTCGTTAAGCAAGCTCATCTGAAATTCCTAACCCTCATCGCCCGCTCACCACATTCCCTGTTCTCAGCACCTGAAGCCACCTTCAACCAGTCCCCAAGATGAAGTTCCTCGTATATGTCGCCATGGTCACCATCAGCGGTGTCACTGCCGGGAGCACCGCCGCCGCTCCCACCGTCTCCGTGCCCACGGACGGCGACAAGGACTGCTTGGCCAACTACATCGTTAGGCAATGCCTTCAGAGCCAGAATGAAAAGGTACGCGCCCAGGAACTCAAGCTACTCTATGTCCAATTCTATAAACTAACCCGCCTTGACAGCTTGAAGCCTGCAGCGCAACCGACCACGAATGTCAATGCTATGCATCCCAAGCCATCGCAACGTAAAGTCCCAGTCCTCCAAACTCACCCAATATATCATGGGCAGGCAATCTGACAATCATAGCTGCTACAACAACTGCCCCAACGACGCCCGCGCCCCGGGGGCCACCCAAGCCATGAATGGCGCCTGCATGGCGGCCTCTGCCTACGCCACCATCACCACAAAGGCCACTTCCACCGCCGAGGCCGCGGCCACGAGCGCCGCAGCCGCAGCCGACGACAACGCAGCTGCCTCTGCCTCTAGCTCGTCTGTCGTGCCCACAAGGTCCGTCACCTCGTCCGCTCCCGGCGCCAGCAAGACCAATGGTGCCGAGAGCCTCGCTGGCAATGCTGCCGGCATGCTTGCCGCCGTTGCTGGTGCCGTAGCTATTGTCTTGTAAAACATTGGCGGGAAGCGTGGGATTTGGCGGTACGGAGCGCTGTGAATACGGATAAGCGTGTCTGGGATGCGTAGGTAGCACTTACTTAATTTCTTAATTTAATTGACTTTGCCCATTCCTTACTTACACTTTGCATCAATGGTGCTTTAGCTATCCCTTCGAATGTGCGCAGGTCCAATTTTTGTAATGGACCAGGGTTCTAGCCAATAGTAATTACTTATTTAAAAGATATATGTACCTAGATACTTAAAGATTATATAATAATAAAAGTTAATAGGACTTTTAAAAATACTTAGGTATATAAGAATATATTAGTTATTATTACTAATAAAAAAATATCTTTAAGTATCCTTAAGTGTCACAAAAAAGTGGGTTGAATACATCAATTAGACCTGCGCACATTCAAAGGGATGGCCAGGACGTGTTCAAGTAGTCCAGGTTTCCTGGGTTGAACCACGTCTGGTAGAAGTATTCGGTGCTTATTTTGAATCATATATGCCAGCCACATATGCTGTTTCATCATTCTAGCAACGCAGCCTTCTGAGCGCGCAATTCAGACATTGAGATTTATAAGAGTGCTTTGCTAGAATGATGAAACAGGACATGAAATACTACTTAGGTATCTAGATATTCTTGTCATATTACATCTCATGAGAAGTCTGCTTAGCAGTTGCGGTCCTATCAAATATTGCATCTCTGATCAAATCACAATGGGCACAAATCATGCAAGGGTTGTTTGGGCTTGCTCAACTTCGAGCCAAGTCAACCGTGTTCCGCAGTCCTCTAAAGTACTGCCTAAACCAAACTTTATGATACAACGAGGCTGGTCCTCCCATGGTGTTCCGTGGTCCAAAATCATACAACCACTGTTAGCAACCGCGCCAAAGTTGCAAGCCGATCTCTCAGAAAAGAAGTCCCGCTCTCCCGTTGCGCCTAGTGAGAAACAAGAAAAGTAAACGATATCTCTACAGAAAAACTGCGGTATGAAGTTGACTGAAGCCCGACCCCGCCTTGTTGTCAGCCGTTTGGACGCCGAAAGGATTTCCTAATTTTTTGCCAGTATATCACGCAGACCTTTGTCCCGTGAAAACAGAAGTCTCGTGTAACCGTGCTGCCACTTAAGCACGCGTTCATTGTTCTTTTTTAAAAACAAGTGTAAACGAAGAGAGAGAAGAAGAAGTAGGGACTAAAATCGAGTAGAGGGATTAAAAAGATATCAGTAGCAAACTATGAGAAACCTCCATCATGTGCCACTGACTGTTGAAGCGTAGATAGGTTGAGGTTGTGATGTTGGACAAGGTATGGGAGTCAATTAGCAACCATCGCAGTAAATCGCAAAGGAAACATAAAAGACAACTCATGTTCTGCGCAATCTTCGTTCCTTGGATCGATTCACAGGCCCAAGAAAGGTGACATGCTGCTTTTTAGCATCGTCTTTACGGAGCCTCACTGTTCCAGAAACGCCGTTGGAACCGCGGCGCAGAGACCTCGAGTCATGGTCGTCGTCAAGCGTAATTTCAGCAACGTCAGACACAGACTCGTTGTCGAGTTCATCACTACCACCAGACATGGAAGATCCGTCATCAGAGTCGTCATACTCTCCGTCGTCACTAACAAGAGACGGCGCATTATTGCTAACCAACGTATTGGGGCTGAGGTTGGCTTCCATATCCAAATCTTCATCGGACAAGACAGCATCGGAACCAGATTTGGACATCACATCCAGACTAGAACCAGGAGGGGATACGAGAGACATGGGCGGAGCACGGCTCTTGCTGCTCGTTGGGTGGGTGGGTGAGTCGGTTGGAGCAGCAGGCGTCTTTCCGCTCTGGGCTGGTACACGCTTGACAAAAGGAGTTCGGGCAGGAGCAGCATCATTTGGTCCGTCAAAGGCAGTAATGGGAGTGCCCGTGTCGTCGGATTCCTCGTCGGGTGTCATGTCTTCGATGGATATCTTGGTCTTGGCGTCTGCAACGAGATCACGAAGGTTGCCATTGAAGTTGCGGCTCTTCATCAGACGAGACAGATACGGGGTCTCGGTGGCAGGATTGAACTTGGTGGCGGCAGCCCTTGACTTCTTGGGAACCGGTGCGTTCACACCAGTGGTCCTTGAAGGAATTGCGCCAACACCAGGAAGCTTACCTTGGTGATACAGCTTGAGTGAGTCGGCAATTCGCGAGCGCAGTACGACGTACGCCTGTTTCTCAGACATGTCTTGCCGGGCCAAGGGATGCACATGCGTGGAAAACGATGACGGGTTGTTGTTGACGTTATTGCTGGCTTGGGTCTTGTCATCTGCTCCAGCGCCCCCAGGACCACTATTCTCACCAACGTCGATAGGGTGTCCGCTCTGAACGGCAGCTTCCTCGTGACTCTTGAAATCTCGCTTGTGAGCAATTCGACAGTGGTTTATGAAGCCTTGGGTGCTGGAAAAGTTTTCACGATGGCAGTCGAGGCAAACCAGCTTAACAGTTTGGCCATCGGATCGCTTCAAGATACAAGGACCAGCCTTGTCCTTGGGTTGAGGATATCCGCTCGACAAAGCTTGAAGTTTCTGGCCTGCGTTGCCGCGAACTGGTCTACCCTTGGAAGTCGGCCCGGTTTCCGTAAAACTGTTCCTTGTCGTTCTGCCCTCGTTGAAGGGCACTCGTGCACGCGCGAATTCTGGGGTGAACTGCCACTCTGGCTGTTCACCATCGAAAGAGGGATCGGGGATGAGCCACTTCGCGTAATGTCGTGCGTATGGGCCTTCCACAACACCGAATGGCGGCGCCCACTGGGGGACTGGTTCTCCAAATCGAGTAATAGCTGCAGGGCCCTTACCACTGCTAATGTCGAGCATTTGGTCAGGTGTCGGACAATATTGAGGGTACGGAATCAGATGACATCTGCGCAATTGTTCCAGCGCTACTTGGCATTTGGCGAGCTCCTGATTAATAAGTCTTAATTCGTCATGCTTGAGGAGCACCTCGAGGCCCATTTGATGCCTGATGATGTCGCGCGCGCGATCCATGCCATCACCCCCGACTGAAGATAATGAGTCGTCGCATGACGACACAGAAGCCGAGTCGAAGGTGTCAGAGTGCAGCTTGATCCGCTTACTCAGGGAAACATCCGATGATGCTTCACTCGAGTCATCAAAGGCATCCCAGCTCCGCTTGGGAGCCGGGCTGCCGGGGCCGTTTTGCGACGACAGGTCTGATGCAGCGTCCAGGTGTTGGTGCGCGTCCAACGGGAGTTTTGACGTTTCCGCAGGCTGCTCGCTTCCCCTAGAATCGGAGCTCCAGAAACGAAACATGAAGCAGCCTCCGTCAACAAGGGGTATGGGTTGCCGATGAGTCGCGACACAGAATATCACGACGTCTGTGGGATGATGTTTGCGACAAACAACAACTGCACGGTCGGCAGAGTGGATCCCCAGAAAGATGCTGACGTAAACGGAAAAGTGGAGCGGATGATGTGGGCAAAGGGGTGCCTGATGAGGTGGCAAGTCGGGTCAGGTCGGACGCCGGGGAGTTGGGTTTGTGTCAGAGCACAGAGTGTGGCGACCAAACCCCAGAGGCAAGAGTCAGTCCGCAGGGAGAAGGCAGATTTGCGAGTCCGACAGGCAGAGCGAACGTGCGATTGAGAGTGAGAGTGAGAAACGACGGGGAGAAAGTGGACTGTCCGGCAAGATGATCGAGAGCTAACGAAAGCCTCGAGTTGTGCCTCCTGAGGAGACAACTAGTCTGAAGAGGAACAGAGGGAAAGGAAAAGGAAAAAAAGAGGCGATGAGAGTGAAAGGATTAATGGGCTACAGCGCAGAGGAAGGAGTGAAAGAGGGAGCAAACGGGGGGAGGCGAGAGTGTTGGGTGGTGTTTGGATACTGGAAGATGGGCGAACAGCTCAAGCTGCGTTTCGGGTGAGCACAATGTTGGACCAGCCAGTGGGAGCGGCCAGTGGGAGCAGCCAGTGGGAGCAGTGGACAGACGATGGGACGTGTACATCAGACACGGGTGAACCAGATTGGAGGCAGCACGGCAGGGAGCACGAACTCGGTCGGTTCCCCCGTACAATGGGGCGCGCTGGGGCGCTTTGGCTTGGGTCAAAGATCAAATGGAAGAACGCGCGGATGGATTTGTTTTGGTGCAGCCAGGCTGCCCCAGACGGGCGGCGGCGGCGGCGTCGAAACTGTCTGGACGACGCCGCCACACTCGAGCAGGACCTGTCCTTCGTTCCAGGTTGACGGGGTACTGGCTGCGCGATGTAAAGTGCCGCCATTGCACAGTCCCTACTAACAGCCCTCCAAGTGCACACATGTATCTAGGTACCTAATTGGCTGCCTTGCGCTGCGCGACCGTCCACGTACCCTGAGCTCAGTGCCAAGTACTCCGTACTACCCGCAGCCAGGACCCAGTTTGGCAGGGAGCGGACGACACGGATGGCGACCCGCCCAACTTTGAACGGAGTAAAGCGACATGGAGGACTGGACTAGGGGCTGCTTGACCGAGAATGAACCAGCACTAGTACTTGAATACTCCGTAACTCAGACTCAGTTACAGCAGCGTCTGCATCTGCTTGGTGCGTTTGGTGGGCCACACTCGACCCAACTGGGGCAACACGGGCAACACAGCCCGCTGGGCAGCTCTGAGTATTGGGGCACTGGATGACCACTGGACCACCGCTGGTCACCAATTCCACAGCAGGCACTCAGATCCACCACACTCGCTGCAAGGGGGTGTGGAGAGCTCCAGACACCCAGAGTCAGTGTGAGTGCCTGCTGAACCATCTCGCCAATGCCTGTGAGGCCAACCCGCTGCTGTGGCAGCCTTGAAGGCCGGTCTGGTTCGCATTCTCATGCCGCCTGCCGTTTCCAAACACACCAGACCAGACATACAAACCAGTATAACCGCGCAAAGCACCGAGTATTCAGGACTCTGGGTCGACTACACCGAGTGGCCAGGTCTAAGTACCAAGATGCCTCGTCCTCCTATCACGAAATCGTTGTGGTGTCATACGAA